CTCCTCTCCTCTCCTCTCCTCTCCTCTCTCTCCCCTCTCCTCTCTCTCATCTCCCCTCTCCCTCCCCCTTCTCTCTCCCCCTCTGATTCGGAGTTTCCTTAGTATCAAGCCATCCTGCTACATAATGAGTTTTCTCATCCTGGGTAACGTGAGCCATGATACCTGCTGAACAAAGGCCAGTGACAGAGAAGGGCAAAGGCTGCTGGTGCTTCATCCTGAACTTTGCGTATGGAGCATGAGAGCCTCGACTGGGAAAGAGTGGAAGAGCCATGGCAGCCATAGTATGGCATCTTGGCCTCCTATATTAAATATTGCCTTTTCCTGTCTTCTAGAAGGTTCGATTCCAGTACCCATCCTCAGTTCCAGAGCTTCTCCAGCTGCTAGCCTCTGCCCATGAGGCCCCAGGGCCTGCCCCGTCCCTTCTTCTGCTGGATGGCCTGGAAGACTATCTAGCAGAAGATTCAGGGGCCCAGGAAGCCGCCTACTTGGCTGCATTGCTTCTGGATACTGTTGCCTACTTTAGCCACCATCTTGGAGCCAGTGGCAGCTGCGGGCTTGTGGTGGCCCTTGAGACCCAAAAAGAAGCAGACGGTGATGTCCCACATCTGACATTGCTTCAGCGGTATTTTCCTGCACAGTGCTGGCTGCAGCCAGATGCCCTAGGCTTGGGACAGCAGTACTGCCTTCGAGCCAGCCTGGCGTCGGGCCCGCTGAGCCCCAGGATGGAGTGGTCAGTGACTTTCTTACCCAGTGGAGAGATGAAGATCACCCCATGGCCTACCCAGGCTTCTAAGCCCTGCTCAGATAGAAAAGGTTCAAGTGCTAGAAACCAGTCATTAACTTTGGCATGTGACAACCTCTCTGGTCCTCAGTGTCCCTTGGATAGAACACTGACTTCGGGGACAGTTGCAGAGTCAAAGACCTGAACAGTGTAGGTTTTCTTTTAAAGACTAGCACTGTTGAGAGCTGGTGAGATGGCTCAGTGGGGAAGGGACCTTGCCAACCTGCATGATGCCTGACTTTGATTCCTGGGACCCACATGGTTGGAGTCTAGAGCTGACTCCTGCAGGTTGTCTTCTGACCTCCACTTTTGGGTGGTGACACACACGCGCCCTCCACACTAATAATAATAAATAAATAATAAACCCTTCTAAATAAATAAATATAGTCAGCTGGAGCTTCCTTTGCCCACTGGCTGTCATTGATGAGATTCAGCCACGTTTCCTAGTTCATTCCTTTACCTCTTGCATTCTCTTCCCAGACAGGACCTTGTGTAGCTCAGGCTAGGCTCAGACTAAATAAATACTTAGCAGAGGCTATCCTTGAACTTCTGATCCTCTAGCCCCATCTCTTGAGGGCAGGGCCTCTGGCGTGTGCTCCTATACTTGACTCCTCTTGCCTACTCCATGGGTGCCTGTATCCATTACCTCTGTGTCTCTGCTTACATACTGTTGGGATTAAACATACACATGCCCTTGCACATGTGTGTAGGGTGTACGGCTGGGAGTGGACTCACTCCACATAGAGTATAGGACATACATTTTTTTAAAATATTTATTTAGTATACAATATTCTGTCTGCTTATATGCCTGCAGGCCACAAGAGGGCGCCAGACCTCATTACAGATGGTTATGAGCCACCATGTGGTTGCTGGGAATTGAACTCAGGACCTTTGGAAGAGCAGGCAATGCTCTTAACCATTGAGCCATCTCTCCAGCCCAGGACATACATTTTTAATGCATTAAACTGATTTTGAGCATGGTTATATGCAAAATGGTAGGCCCAGCTTTGGGACGTAGGTGTAGGAGGTCACTGTGTAAGGTTGTCCTAAGCCACTCTGGCATACACTAGACCCTGTCTCAGAAGAACCCAAATGGGCCAGGCTGTTAATCCTAGTGTGTTTAAGGCCAGCCTGGTTTCAATGGACTGTTCAGACCACCCAGGGCTACATAGTGAGACCCTGTCTCAAAGGCAAAACAAAAAAACTAGGGAGCTGGAGAGAGGGCTCGGTGGTTAAGAATTCTCCCACAGGATGTGGGTTTAGTTCCCAGCATTCCTATCAGACACAACATTTGCAACTACAGCTCCAGGGGATCTGATGCCCTCTTCTGGTCTCCTTGGACATTGGGCAAGAAGTGGTGAACATACATACATATAAGCAGAACGCTCATACACATGAAATTAAAGGATGTAGGGCCCGGGTCTACCCTTGTTCCTGGGGTGCATCTTGAAGACAGTTTTTGGTCAGCTAACTAAAGCATTCTGTTTGTTTCTGTGCTCCCCCTGTCTCACCTGGTGATTAGCTGTAGTGCATTGTTGACTTCATCTTTGGCATGGTAATTTTCCATCTGCCTGGGCAGAAATCCTTGTGCAGCAGCTAGGTATATAAAGATTTTCCCAAGGTTGAATAAAGGGCATTCGGCTGATCTCCTTTCGAATGACCCTGGTCTCTTTGTGTGTTCTTTCAATCTCCAGGCCCTTGCCCGACTCGCATACGGTACAGTGGCACATGAACTGTACCGAGGGTGTAACACAAAACCGGGTGTTACAAAAGTATATAAAAATCTTAAAAACAGACGGAAGAGATGGCTCAGAGGGTAAGAGCACTGGCTGCTCTCCCAGAGGTCCCGAGTTCAATTCCCAGCCCCCACATGGTGGCTCACAACCATCTGTAATGAGACCTGGTGCCTTCCTCGTCAGCAGTACATTGTATGCTTAATAAATTAATTAATTAAAAAAATCGATCCTGAAGGTAAGCTCGGGACTCAGGGTGTTGTATAGGGGGGGGGGGTGAATAATTCATCCTGTAATGGGAGCTCCTTAAGCTTGGGAAGTAAACAACTCAAAGGCTTCAGGGAGACCCTGGAACTCTCAGACAAGCTGAGCTACTTAGAAAGGATGCTCTCTAACCTGTGGAACTGTCTGCAGCTGTGCAGGGTGCTCCAGGCTTCCAGTGCTGGGGTGAGCTTTGCTGGTGCAGCTGTCCGAGTCACTACTCCTGCAAGTAACCCCTCACCCACATGTGCAGGAATGCACATAACTCCAGTAAAACTCATTGGGTCACCAAATTGGACTTCGGTGGCACGAGTGCTTGGATCTGGTTTTCTATCTGGGTGAGTAGATGTTGGTTTGTGCCCCCCAGGAGCAGTGTGGATGCGGCACTAAGTCTCAGGTGGCTCGTGTTGGCAGCTAGGGAGCATGCCCTGACTGTTGTGGTCCCTCTTCATGTTTGCCAGATCCACAATTTCAATCTTAGCACCAAGACTTTAGCTATGCTTTCCCATGGTCTAGGTCCAGGGAAAGTTGGGGTTTGAAGGTTTTTACAGAGGCTGTGGTAGAGTGCATAGTGATTGCACATGTGTGAAGCTCAAGTTCAGTTCCCAGCACCACATTATCTTGGTATGGTGGAACAAGCCTGGAGTCCAAACACTCGGGAAGTAGAAGCAGGAGCTTCACAAGTTCAAGGTCACCTTCAGCTACCACATCTCAAATAAAATATGGGCTAGCAAGAGAATTCAGAGTAAAAGCATTTCCCATGCCAGTCTAGGAACATGAGTTCCACGTAAGAAACAAAAAACCTGGTTGTGGTGTGTGGTCTGATGGAGCAATCCAAAGACAAGATGGGGGCAGAGGTCAGAGGAGCAACCAGAAGCACAGACAACCAGCCCGGGCCATGAAGCATGGCAGGAACAAGGCGGGGGAGGGAGTCGACTCCATCTATGAGTTACACACACAAATCAGATACAGAGTGGTAGAAAAATCGATATGTATATATTTCTATGTACAGACAGATAACTGTCTATCTTGACATTGCAAGGCTGTTGCTTCCTGGACAGGATGGGCTGGGCAGAGGACCGAGGTCAGCTGTGACTTTAAGTATGGCCTTCAGCCCTGTTCAAGAAGTTGTGGGCTTGGGATGGTGTAGGCTGGCGTCCTAGGAGCAGGCCACATAGCTGGGGTGCAGAGGCTCTGGGTCCGGGACAAGGCTATTCTCATAGGGGTGGGAGTAGGGGCCATCAGATGCGTCCCCATGGACTCCCTGGGAACTCCCCGAACTGTAATCTGTTGAGATGCCCGAGTCAGACACCACAAGGTACAGGTACTTCAGGTGAGGTGGAGTGGGAGGCAGCTCAGGAGGGAGTGCCCGAGGGCAGAGGCGCTGGGAGTTGGGGTCCAGGATGGTGTACTCAAAACTGGAAGGTGAAGTGCCCTCTGGCCTGGGCTTTGAGGCCAACTCAGAGGGGCAGGAAGATGCTTCCGAGCCTTCATCCATAGTCACTGGGTCCACACTGTCCCCAGATCCCGAGAGGTCCTCACTGCATGGGCTCCGGGGCAGCAACCACTCATCCAGTACCAGGTAGGTGTCCTGGGCATGCTCACTGCCCGTTGGCTCCAGTAAGGGCCCCTTGTCATCTGCCCGTGGCTCCCCTGCCTGTGTTACCCCCCAGCAGCGCTCTGAGAGGACTTCTAGGTGAGCAGGTGGGTCCTCCGGGAAGGAGTTGCTTGGGCTCCACCACAGACAGCCGTCCTGCTGTAACAGCCACAGCTGGGAAGAGAGCACCCTCCTGCTCAGAGGCCTGGGCTTGGCAAGCGGTAGCAGGGCAGCCCCAGGAGCCGAGAAGACAAACAGGTCACCTACCTGGAAGTTACCCTTGTGGGTAGTGAAGAGACCCTCAAACTCACTCTCTGGGCTTGGGATGCCAGGCCAGATCTTCTGCTTCAGAGTCCTGTTGAAGTCAGAAAGAAGTCCATGGGTGTGTGCTGCTGGGCACTCACCAGTGCCCTCTCAGGTCCCCCCACCACAGTGAAGCCAAGATTCCTGCAGGGGGGTGAGGTCCTACAAAAGGGTGTCTGGGATAGTTTTGAAGGATGCAAAGGAGTTCAGTGCAGGCTCCCTCACACCAGTCATCTCTCCTTTCCATAGGCTGAGGGTGGAATCCCCGGAACCACCAAAACGCGTGCGTGCATGCGTGCATGCGTAAGTGCGTGTGTGCGTGCGTGATTCCCAACGAAGTAAATACCCAGGGCCACGAAGGGCTGGCAGGATGTGTACTTTCTGGAAAAGTAGGACGAGCAAAGTTTTGAGTGCACTGGGAATTATAAATACCGCAGCATGTAATTATCAATACGCAGCATGGTCAGGTCATTAAAGCCACTGGGCTTAAATCTCTTCCATTAACTGTCTGGTTGTTTTTACAAGGTTGACTACATCGGGAAATGGAACCCACAAAAGAATGCGGGAAGGAGCCATCGCTGAGGTCAAGAGAACTCCAGCAGGTGACCGAGAGAAAGGAAGTTCAAGAGTCTGGGTGTGGTCTGGCTTGTACTCTATCACTGATAACGGGGTACTCTAGGCCAGTGCTCACCCCTCAGCCTGCTTTCCCTAGAGAGAGATCTGACGTTAGCTCGGGTTGGGGGCTCACCGGCGGTGGGACAGCAGTGCCACCACTGCCAGCAGCATTGAGATGAGAACGAGGATGAGAGACAGCGCCAGGATGAGAGGGTCCAGGTCTGGGAGACAGGAAGGAGGTCAGGGAGGTTTGCCGGGTGCTTGGCCCACCTCGTTCTTCTCTCCGAGGAACTGGAGCCTCACCGCTAGCTGTCAGCAGCGACGCGGGCTCAGACCAGGCGCTCCAGAAGCCGCTGAAGCTCGGCTCGGCCATGCGCGCTCGAACAGCGAAGGTGTAGCGCGTCCCGCCCCTCAGGTTGCTCAGTACACACTCAGTGCGTCCTTCCAGGACCTCCACCTAGGGTTCGGTGGAGCCAGAAAATTTTACCATCTAGCACCCAGTGAGAAGATGTGGGAGCTTGCACGGAGGCATCTAGTCAGCACCCTAATAATGGGAACGGTACTTGGGGGCACTCAAGTAACGGTATCACGGACAAGGCCCATTTTTTGGCTCCAGGCAAATCAGATCAAGGACCCCCAAAGCCAAGAGCTGACTCTGAGCCATATAAAGGAAGAGCCAGGCACCTCACAGAGAACACCTCCCTGACATCTGAGGATGTGAACTAGGTTGTGAGCCGGGCTGAGGCCCGAGAGAAGCCTGAGCAAAGTGTGAGTGGGGGGGAAAGTGGGCGTGAGCTAACGTGAGCGCCAATTAGGTATGGTGCCGCTCAGGGGACCCTTGAGGTAAAACGAGAAAGACTCAGGAAAGTTGTTCTCTGATCCCCTCAAGGGCACAGTGGCGAGCGTGCACCCAGCACAGAAAAGAGAGCAATTAAAAAATAGCGATGGTTGGGGCTAGAGAGATGGCTCAGAGGTTAAGAGCACTGACTGCTCTTCCAGAGGTCCTGAGTTCACAAGTAGACAGAACCCTGTAGAATATTTATAATAAACAAATCTTAAAAAACACAAACAGCGATGGGGACCCAAAAGAGTGGTATTTTGGGCCAGGACGCAGGGAGGTTGAATGGACGCTCACCCTTTGCGTGGCCCCTGCCCTGTTGCCTGCAGACACGTCCACCTCATAACGGATGTGGGTGGTCATAGGTGCCCCAGGAGGTGGCAACCAGCGCAGCACCACGTGGCTGCCCTCCTCCGCCCGGCGCGCCAGCAGTCCCGCAGGGGCGTCCAGGAGCACTGCAGAAAGTGAAGCAAATCGGGTAGGCAGGGACACAGCCCAGCCTCCACCCCGACCGATGTCGCTCCCATCCCCTCTCACCTACCAACTTCATTGATATGGATGGTGCGGTGGTAGCGAGGAAATCCGGAGGCCGCCGTCACGCGTAGCTCCAGTGGCACGAAGCTCGACGTGTCCGCTGTCGGCAGTGAACACCAGAAACGCACGGAGCCGCGTACTGTGGGTGCCTGGTGCAGGCGACATGACTTACGTGACTCACCCCTGTGCGACCGGAGAAACCGAGAAGAAAAGATTGGATAAACGGGAGGGTAGGAGATGATTGGAGAGGTTTTGATTTCTTTTGCTTAGATAGTGGAGACCAAATTGGAGCGCCCCAATTCCATTGGAGCGCCCCAATTCCAATATGATGGACCGTTGATGGAGAATTATTCTAACCCCGGCCACCAGGGGGCGCCCTCCGCCCATTTCCCCCACCCCCACCCCTGCCTGTCACCCTTAACCAAGACTTCAGACCGATGGAGACATTCCAGGTTATGACATTCAGGAAACTTTGCTGCCCCGAACCCCGCCTTAGGTCACCTAGTCCTGGGAGACTCACTCGAGCTGGTAAGAGAAGCTGTAGTTGAAGCCCATTCCGGAGCTCGCCGCTTCCTCCCAGAAACACACCAAGTCCTCCAACCGCTGGGTGAAGCACAGAAGTTCTTCGGAGCCCCGGGATGCCAGCAGGGCCGCTAGGGAGGGGGGTTGCCATGGAGCGGGGAGGTGGGTGGTGGTCAGGGAAGTCGAAGTCTGTACTCCACAGTCCCCTAACCCTCCCTCCTATCGCCTGTGCAGACCCGATAATTGTAGTGCCCCGCCCTCTTCTCCAAGAGGGCCTTCGAGGGGTCTTGCAGAAGTGGCACCTCTAGAACTCGCAGTAGCGACCCCGCCTGCTTTGTCCCAACCCCGTGCACACGCCCACTCACCCTGCAAGTTGAGCGGTGCTGGCCCCGCCCTAGCGCGCGTGTGTGCAGAGTACTGGCCTCCTATCGGTCCCCGCAGGCACCCGGTTGCCCCCCGATAGCGCCAACCGTGTCCCCCGCCCCCCTTCCTCCTCCTAGCAAGAAGTGGAAGAGATCTAGCACCACACGCCGCGCCAAACCGTGTTTACAGTCGCCTGCAGACGGGTCCTGTTCTCCCACCACCTTATCCACTTTCCAGGGCCACTGTGAGTTTGATCACTTCCAACTAGGAGCTCTGACCTACTCTGCCCTTCCGAATTCTACCACGTCTCAGAGTCCCTCAAAACACAAAACAGAGCCAAAGGGGTTGGTTAACCTGTCACCCCAGTAGTTGAGAGGTGAAGGAAGGAGAATCAAGTTCAACCTCAGTTACATAGTGAATTTGAGGGCAGCCTGAGCTACCATAAGACCCTGCTTCAAAAACAAAACAAAAACAGCGCAGGCAGGGTGACACTTGCCTTTAATCCTAGCAGTTCAAGGCCAGCCTGGTCTACCTTCTGAGATCCTGTTTCAAACAGCTAAAACAATCTTAAGCCTTTCTAAGACTTTCCCCCTGGGCATGGCTCAAGGGTCAGACATTGACATGCCTCATCAGGTTCAGAAACCAATTTGACTGTAGGACCCATCTGGGGGTTCAGAGGACGTGGATGTGTGGCCCCTGAGACCCAAGCTGGAAATTCAGGAGGTAGCATTGCCCTCTACGACTTAATGAGGGGGTACCCATATATAGCTCTTACCTTTGCTCTCAAACTTGGGGTCCGGGAGGCTGGGTGAGGGAGCCCAGGCTGCACCAGCAAGTAGGAGACAGAGGGGGCCAACCCGAGGCCAGAGGGGCACCCTGAGGTGGTCCATGATGCAGCCCCAGTTTCAGGAAGCCCAGGGCTCCAGCCCCTCCGTGTCCCCCCCCGCCTCCCCTCCCCTTTCCTCTTTCCCCTTTCCCCCAGTCCACAGCTGGGTCAGCAGCAGCTGCCGGACACAGCTGACCAGGAGCTTCCAAGTGGCAGCTCCCTCCAGGGGGCGGGGCCAGCACGCAGTCGGGGACAGATAAGCCACGGCCTCCGGAGGGAACAGGGGCCCTCTTGGGCACAGCCGCCGCCGCCATAACCAGTGTAGGGGGGTGGGGCAGACAGCATGGTTTTGTTTCGGGGAAGGGGGTTGGTGGTTGCTAATGTGGTCACGGACAGGAGACTTACCTTCTTCATGTCTAGTCTGGGCGTTTGTAAATCTGCCCTGCTGCGCAGACCAGCAGGACACAGATGGAAGCTGTGTTGTTGCACTAGGCGGTACCTCTTCCCCAGTCCAGTTCGAAATAAAAATCCTAAAGACGACTACCAACTGGATGTGTGAGTGGAACCAGGCCGTGCAGTCTGACAAACAACATGCTATGGTGTTTTCTGTTTGTGGATTACACCGATTTCGGAATAGATCATTATGATTTTAAAAATCGTAAACATTTATTTATTATGTGCATGTGTGTGCGCACGCGTGTGTGCATGAGTGCGTGGTGTGCATGCCCCAATGCACTAGGGCACATATGGAGGGCACAGGACAACTTTGGGAGCCAGCCCTCTCCTACCATGTGGTTCCCAGCATTGGGGCTTAGGTCTCACCAGCCCGGTTTTTTTTTTTTTTTCTTTCTGAAACAGGGTCTTATTGTATTCCAAGCTGACTTCAAACTCACTGTATGAATCACTAAGGATGATCTTGAACTTCTGTCCTCCTGCCTCCACTTCCTCCGTGTCGGGATGGATGGCAAGCATGCACTACCATCTCCGGTCTATGTGGTGCTGGAACGGAACCCAGACCTCAGGCATGCTGGACAAGGGCTCTACAATGAGCTACAGCTCCGGTATTGTTTTGTTGGTTTTTGTTTGTTTTTGTCACAGGGTGTCACTAAATAGCCCAGACTATTCTGGAATTGTGGCAATCCTCCTGTCTCAGGTTCCTGAATGCTGGGATCACAGACCTGTGCCACCACACCTAACTTCCTTTACTTTTAAAAAAGAAAGTTGAATGGGGTGTAGCTCATGGTACAGCCCTTGCCTAGCAGCAGAAAGCCTCGAGTTTATCCCCAGCACCACCAAGATGGACAGAAAGGTAGGTGAATTCATACATATGTACATGATAGATACATGTATGAATGCACACACAAAGATATATGTGTGGATATGTACATACATATATGAATAGATACATACATGGATAGATAGGTAGAGAGATAGGTAAATATGCACATACAAACATATATACATACATACATACTGCTCTTGCAGAGGACCTGGTTTGGATTCCCAACACCCACATGGTACCTCACAACTGTCTGTATTTCCAGTTCCAGGGGATCCAACACCCTCTTCTGGTCTCTATGAGCACTGTACACATGTGCACAGATGTATATGCAGCCAAAATGACCAAACACATAAAACAACAAAAGACAGATATCAGTGTGATTCTCTTCCTCAAGAAATGGGCTTTGGGGCTGGAGAGAAGGCTCAGTGGTTAAGAGGATTGCCTGCTCTTCCAAAGGTCCTGAGTTCAATTCCCAGCAACCACATGGTGGCTCACAACCATCTGTAATGAGATCTGGTGCCCTCTTCTGACCTTCAGGCATATACACAGACAGAACATTGTATACATAATAAATAAATATTTTTTAAAAAATGGGCTTTGTTTGGAAACCGCTTGGTTATATATCAAAGGCTCAAACTCAGAGGGGTCTTCCTGCTTCTGCTCCTCCCCCCCAAGCCCATGCTGTGATTACAGGCGTGTGCGCCTTGCCTGGCCTAGAGATGTGTATGGGGCAGGGGGACACTCTCAGGCTAGTTCAGATGAGAAAATGAGAGGATGCCGCACATACAAATGACTAGCTCTAGACCAGGCTGGCCTCGAACTCACAGAGATCCACCTGCCGCTGTCTCCCGAGTGCTGGGATTAAAGGTGTGAGCCACCACCCCCCACACCCAAATGGTCTTTTTAAAAAAAGATTCATTTATTATTTATACAGTATCTTGCCTGCATGTATGTCTACACGCCAGAAGAGGGCACCAGATCTCATTATAGATGGTTGTGAGCCACTTTTTAAAAAATATTTATTTATTTATTATGTATACAATATTCTGTCTGTGTGTATGGCCAGAAGAGGGCACCAGACCCCATTACAGATGGTTGTGAGCCACCATATGGTTGCTGGGAATTGAACTCAGGACCTTTGGAAGAGCAGGCAATGCTCTTAACCTTTGAGCCATCTCTCCAGCCCTGTGAGCCACTTTTGTGGTTGCCGGCAACTGAACTCAGGACTTTTGGAAGAGCAGCTAGTGCTCTTAACCGCTGAGCCATCTCTGCAGTCTGATACAAATGGTCTTAAGGAGATTTTTGACTAAAACAAACAACAACAAAACCAAACAAACAGAAAAACAGTAGCTGAGGAGACGGCTTGGTAGGTAAAGTTCGATCCCCAAGACCCGTGTCAAAGGCAGGATGAGGAGTTTCTACATGAATCTCACTGCAGCAAGATGTGGATGGATCCCTGCAGCTCACTGGCCAGCCAGTCTAGCTGAAGAGGTGAGCACCAGGTTCAGTGAGAGATCCTGTCACAAAAAATAGGATGGAGCATACACAACTCAGATGTTTTAAGTCTCCCTCTGGCCTGTGTAGTGCTTGCCTGTGAACACATGTATACAGCACACACTCCATCATAATAACGATAGAAACAAACAACTAAGCGAGGCACCCAAGGATGTTATTTTTTGTTGTTTGTTTATCTTTGTTTGGTTTGTTTTAGAGACAGGGTCTCTCTATGTAACAGTCCTGACTGTTCTGGAACACTCTCTGTAGACCAGGCTGGTCTCAAGCTCAGAAATTCACCTGCCTCTTTCTTAGTGCTGGGATTAAAGGAGTGTTCTACCAACCTCTAGCATAAAAATGTTCTTTTGGCTACTATGACAAAACCAAGGATAGCAGAAGGAGATAGCAATTTATTTCTGACATTACTCTCCAAGTGACAACAATCCACACAGCAGTTGTTAGACTCCAAGGGCCCAGGTGCCTTCCCACTTGTTGCTCAGTTACTCAGAGGATGTGACTACTCAACCAGACCAGTTATCTCATGTCTTCATTCTAACCAGCAGAAAGCAGGAAATGTGGAGGGGAGACTCACCCCTCCCATTTAAGAGTAGCCCTCGGAATTGGCCAACTTCCCTTCATTGTATCTCTCATTGGCCAAGAATTAATCACGTGACCATATTTGCTACAGGAGTCAGACAAAGCAGCTTTTGTTGTAGATCAGTGGCAGAGCAATTGCCCACCATGTACAAGGCCCTGGGTTTGAGCCCTAACACAGGAAAAGTGTTCATATTGCTTTGACACAGGGTCTCTTATGTAACTTGGGTTGCCCTTAAGCCCATCTTCCTTCACCTTTGGCTTTCTGTGTGCTAGAGCGGCAAGTACATCTGTGGCTTTTACTTTGAGTGGCTGAAGATCAGTGGCTGTAGTTCAATACGAGGTGAGTGAATTTGAGGGAGAACAGACAATCTTATGCTCAGAGCAAATCAGAGTCGCCTCCATGTGAGTGCCAAGTGCTGAGGGAGTGGTGAGCCTCCTTGAGGGTGCTGGGAATAGAAGCCAGATCCTTAGCAAGAAGAAGTGCTCTTAACAACTGAGCGATTTCTCCAGCCCCATATTAGACTTTTCTCTCTCTTTTCTTGCTCTCTCTCTCTCTTCTGTTGTTTTTTTCAAGGCAGTGTTTCTCTTTGTTTTCTGGCTGTCCTGGAATTTTCTCTGTAGACCAGGCTGACCTGATCTCGAACTCAGAGCTCCTCCTGCCTCTGCCTCCTGAATGCTACCACTACTGCCTCGCCCTTATTGGACTTTTCAATACAGCAGATATCAATTTCTTTTTGGCAAGTGCCTATTTCACTAGGATTTATGGGTGTGTATTATGCGTGTGTGTGCTCACTCATGCACACTCCCATGGAGGCCAGAGGTTGGTATCAGATATCTATCATTCTCTACTTACTTTAAAAATATTTACTTATTGCTCTTTTGTGTGTGTATAAGATGTGTGTTGGCAGCTGGGTGGTGGCGGTGCATGCCTTTCATCCCAGCACTCAGGAGGCAGAAGCAGGCTGATCTCTGTGAGTTTGAGGCCAGCCTGGTCTACAGCGCGAGCTCTAGGACAGCCAGGGTTGTTACACACAGAAATCCTGCCTTGGAATGTGTGCTGAGAGCACATGTCTTGTTGCACACACACAGGTCAGAAGACCCCTTTGTGGAGTCCGTTCTCTCCTTCCATCTTTTCATAGATCCTGGGATTGAACTCAGGTCGCCGGGCTTGCCTCACAAGCACCTTTACCCACTGAGTCATCTTGATGGCCCTCAACATTATTGAGACAGGGTCTCACATGAATGATGGCTAGCAAACCCCTGGGACCTGTCTCTCTCCACTCCTAGACTGGGATTACAGACATACCCCACCATGCCCTGCTGTTTATGTGGGTGCTGGGGATCTGAATTGAGGTTTCCTCACTAAGGCATTTTACAGACCCCTTGAAAATGGAAGAACTCGGTGAGACCTGGAGCCCCTTCCTGTTGAGGTCTAGTTTACAGCAGAATCTCGGAAGCCAGTGTGCTGCTGCTGTTTTGAGGTTACCTCCGAGCTCACTTCATCTACACTGTCTCTCTTTGCTTATTTGAGACAGGGAATAATGTCACAGGCTGGTCTGGAGCTCCCACTACAGCTGAAAATGACCTTGGACTCGAGATCCTCCTGCCTCCGCAGTGCTAGGGTGACGGCCATTCACCGCCATGCCCAGTTTCTCGCTGCCTGTATTTGCAAGTGATGACAAACCCCTCCCTCCTCCCACATCTCCACTCATGTGATGGAGAGGCAGGGGGAGAAAACCCTGAACTCTCATGAGGATTTTTTCAACCTTTTCTTAGTTTTGTTTTTTTAAAATGAAGTTTTATGATGTAGCCCAGGTTTGCCTTCAGTTCACTATGTAGCTGAGGATGACAAACTCCTGATTCTCCTACCTGCAGCTCCCGAGCACTGGGATTATGGGCATGTGGCAACATGCTGGATATACTCAGTACTGGCTCTCAGACCCCTGATGCCACGTGTTAGGATCCAACTTAACTACACTCTATAGGACTTTTATTTTGGGTAGTGCTGAAAACATCCAGTGTCTAGGGCATGCTGGGCAAGTGCCCTGCCACTAAGCTAAGCTCTCAGCTCTTAAAGCTCTTGTTTTTTCTGAGTTCTACACTTTTCTCACACATCCATGTTTCTGGAATAATGGCCAAGTGCCCAGGAAGTCAGAGAGATGGTGTCTGATGGGCCAAGGCTGGGGAGTCCCCAGGATATGGAACAAGATGGCTTTCATTGGGGGACGGAAGCTCTTCAGGAAAGGGACCCCTACTTTGATGGTGGTAGAATCCAGGTACCAAGCTGTCCGTGGTGAGTGCTGCTTCAGGTTGGGGAAGCTGAAGGTGTATGCCTTGTCCCCTCTTTCCGACGCAGCAGGAAGTCGCCAGGGGCGGTTGGGCTCATTGCATAGAAGACGTTGGCACTGTCCGGAATCAGGAGCTCTGCGTGGAAATGGGGACCACGATGGGTGGCCTGCAAAGTCTGGGAGCTCCTTGGGCAACTTCCTATCACCCCAATGACTTCGCCCACACCCCTTCCCAGCCAAGCTCGGTCTACGGTGACAATGAACTCAGATGACGGCCACCACTCTTCCTCTTCAGCCGGTTAAGCTAAGGGCGTTCACACTCAACTCTTGAACAACCTGTGATTGTGGGTGCTGCTGGTGGTGGTTGGAACTGGGATGTTCCTCATGGTCTTGGGTATTTGAATACTTGGTCCACATTTGGTAGCATTGTGGGGAGTGATCAGCAGCCTGGAGCTTCTTTGTGCTCGTCCCGCCATAACAGACTGTAGCTCTCCAACTGTGAGCCAAGATAAACCCTTCCTCTCTTCAGTTGCTATCTGGGGTTTTGTCACAGCAGTGACAGCACTGGTTCCAAGTCCAGCTCAATGCAAAATGTCCCTGCTCACCTCTGTCTCCAGGAAGGACCTGGAAGAGCTGGTAGTCACGGGCCCAGGGCTGAGGCACATTGTGCTTCTCCAGGGCTCTTTGCACCACGCTGGGGGCTTTGTCCTGACAAGTGAGCTGGAAAAGAAAGACAGGAAAAGACCAGTGAGACGGTTCAGCAGGAAAAGACTACTCCAAGAGACAACCTGAGTTCAGTCCCTGACACCTGCATGGTAGAGGGAGAGAACCAATTCCTGCAAGTTGTCATCTGACCTCCACACACACACACACACACACAATATATATATATATACATACACACACACATATATATGTATACACACTATATATACATATATATACACATATATGTAATTAAAACTCATACAAGAGGGTCAGGTGGTAAG